TATATAGTCTTCTAACAAGCTGTAGGTATAATAGAAAATATATTTTGTTAAAAGTAGTTTTAATTTATAAAACTACTAAAATTTCATGTAAATAATTACAAGTTAACTATATTATATTTAATATACTATAGGTACTACGGGCAGAGATATAGATTCTATATGTGTATTTATAATACTGCAACGGTCCTTTATTTTAAATGGAACTAGTGTGATAGTTTTAAATGGGAAAAGAAATAATAAAATTGCACAACAAAGTAATATTTTAAGGCATGAGTGACTACTCAGAAAACTAAGCTTTCTGAATCAATAGATTAACGGGGGCATTTCATCTTTCAACATATTTTTGCCTAATATTTTTCATATATGATATACTTAGAAGCTTTAGTAATTAGCCTTAATATCTTTGATTGAACTCTTTGCTGGATTTCAATATTTGGTACACTTACATTATAAATTAATTAAATATGTTCATTGTTTTTATATACAACTAGTAGATGACCCGGCGAACTCTGTTCCGCCTTAAAGGCAATAAATAAGCAGTTTTTTTTTAATTGGAAAAAATACAAAAAAAAAAAAATACCTACATTAATCATTCATAATTTATTTGTGTATTTTAGTACACATCGCAAATTATCTATTTGTTGACCTCTGTTGTTCGCTCGACCTTCAGTCCTTAAATTTGCAGTATTTCGTATTGTTCTTGCATTACGGCTTTGTCGGGAAAGATTCGATCGTCTTGGTCGCGGCATTATTAAAAAACTAAAAACTCAAATTTTCAACCATACCATACATTATAATTGTTAATTATTTATTTTGTTGAGTTTGCAACAACCAGGTAGTTTTATTGATTAAAAACGATATTTATTGCAACACAAACTTATATTGATCTAATACAACTTTTAAAAACACATTAACTAAGTTATAGAAACTGTTAAATTTTAATAAAATATTTTCTTATATCAAAAATTTGAAAAATTTCAAAACCTACTTTGTCGTGAACGGGATAAACAGGTATCCTATGTCCTTCTCCTGGCCTTAAACTACCTCCCTGCCAATTTTCAGCTAAATCGGTTCAGCCTATGTCCTTCTCCTGGCCTTAAACTACCTCCCTGCCAATTTTCAGCTAAATCGGTTCAGCCGTTCTTGAGTTATAAGTGGTGTAACAATAACACATCTTTCTTTTATATATATAGAAGATATATAGTATAAGATAACTAATCAGATCTTAAAGAGAATTGTTTAAACTAGTTAACGTTAAGAACATATATATAATAAATCGACATACTATTGAATAACTCATAACTCTTTAACAGACATCCATAATACTCGCTTTTGGACGCAAGCATTCACTCTATTCGTTATTATCATATACTTAAAAAGTATATGTCTTTCGCTATCATATGCTGCCCATTTTTTCCCTGTTTTTCTAAACTTTTCTTAGCTGCATGTTTACGTAAATATATGAAAATTTCATATGAATAAATTATATATAATACCAACCACATAAATTTGGTGAAGAATAGACATGACCCAATGGTCTTTGTTCATTTATTTCAGAATTTGTAGCCATACAAAAGTGTTGATGATGATTTTGATATTGTTGACGTCTAAGCAACAAACGCTGTCGATTGGCTTGATTATTACGATTACGATAACGATTCCAACTAGTTGTGGTGTATCCACCATTATACACAAACTTATCAAAACTGTTACCCATATTATGTTAATTATATTAATTTTGCTGACAATATGAAAAATTTCTAAATGTCTATTTGAATTCCGAGAATGATTAATCAACACCTTTTCTTTTTTATTTTAAATTAGTGATTAGTATGTAGTTAAAACATGCAATGTAGAACTTAGAGAAATCTTATTTAATATGTTTCCAGGCAATCAAAGCTTATATATTTTTCTTTTAAACTTTGTAAACCAAACTTGCATACAATATATATATTCATACTCATATAATATATAAGTTCATACAGTTCATTGAACTGATTTTAATCTACAACAAATATTTTGTTTTTATAGCTCATCTACCACTCAAGTTATAATTAAGTAATCTATTATGTTGTATAGATATTTATATTTCTATAAGAATGTTTTTCATTTTACCCTTTATTCTATTACTTCTACTTAAAATATTGTAAAATTATTGAAGTCTGCTTTTATGTTCTCTTTTATAAGGGTTAGACATTTCTTCCCACTATTTATACCCATTATTAACACAAATTTCTCTTATTGGCTGTATTAAACTAAATGAGCTTATCATATCTGCATATATTATTAATCAGATATTCTAATTTATAAATATATTTAAATTTTCTTATCTATATCTACTTAATTTGATGATTAATTAAATTACTTTTCACATTAATCATTTTTTACGTTATCAAAATAAATCGTGCGAACTAATGACAGTGTATTTACATCAATACACTGATAAATGTTTGTATTTTGATAAGGAAATATATTAAATTTTAGACAACGAAAAAAATAGTTACTTGTTTCAGTTCTTGTCAATTACTTATATTACTTAAAATATGTCTGAACCTAATATGTTCTTTAGCAGGAAACTAATTTTCAATAACAAAATTGCATGTTCTTAAAGAAAAATCTAATAATAAGTCCAACTTATTTATGACAATTTCCATTTGTTAACTTACCTATTTTGATAAGATTTATAGTTAGTTTAAAAGAAGATTCATTATAGCAGTCGAAAGGGAAAGTTATTATTTTTTAAAGTATTTTGATTTTGTTTTACAAAACCGCATTAGTTTAAATTCATATCATCAAAACAAGTATTGCCTTTGCCCTTATTGTAATCTTCCTTCTGATTATACCTATCAGTACAGATTTTTTAAGTTGATATCGGGTTATGCTGACTAAACTATCCTTAAAATTCAACTATGAAGAGTCTGTCAAAACATGATAACAATCTTTAATCACTTTCGATGTTGATCGGTTATATTTCTAATTGACTTCTACATTGATATTTACTGTTTCAATTCTATCTTTCATAATATTAGTTATGATTTGATGCAACTGTAACTTAAAGAACTATTTTTCGTACATATAGTACAAGTATTGCATTTCTTTCTCCTCCAAAATTTTGGATTTTTTATTTTACAAGACTTTTACTTTGAAAGATTCAATGAACTCCGTTACTTAAAACCAATAAGGATAATATATAAACCTTACAATATATACGTTGTATATTTAGTTGATTTTGTTGATATGATCTGACATTGACTTATTGTAATAAATTAATTGATTATTATTTTTCGAAATAGTTTTTCAACTATTTAATATAATAAAGAGGACTTTATTGAATTTTTTATTCTTTCTAACTTTATTAAATTTGTAATGTCTATAAGTCTACAAACACGAATCGTATAAACAAAATTTTTCATAATCAACTTTCTTTTTATGTTCAGTCGTATGTGATAAAAAATAGTTTTTAAGTTTGTTAAAATTGAATTTCATTTTAAACTATATTTTGTTTTAGTGCACTTAACATTGGCACATATCTACATATGTAAGAAAATATTATTTTTATTTGAAAAAATTCGATACATAGGACGTGTGCGAGTTAAGCTAAGTTGATACTAAACCAAATGGCAGATTTTTTGGGATTTTTTGCACTGCACGCATTTAGCCATTTATCAACACGTATCGACACATCACTACATTATAGGCACAACTTAGAATTTCTCTCATTTAGAACGCAACTTAGCGAACTCAGTAATAATTTGCATGATGTTAGCGATATGCTCAGATTATTTAGGTGTTCCGAGTGTAATTCTGAAGCACCCTTTTTGGCTAGTTCGTCTGCTCTGCAATAGCCGAAAATATCCCTATGACCAGGAATCCAGATTAGAGAAATATTGAGCTGCGTCGACATTTCTTTTAGAGATGTGTAGCAATCAAAAACCATCCTAGATGTAAATTTGACTGTCTGATAGTATGTATATATTACTGCCAAATATTCACATTCAAACAAGCTATAGCTTCTCTAATGGCGATCACTTCCGGCTGAAAGACACTACAATGATTGGGTAGCCTAAAGTAGGAAGATTTATTAAATTCCTCTGAGAAAACTCCACTGCCTGTACCACTACTTGTTTTGGAACCGTCAGTGAAAATTTTAAAACAGTAACTGTAGTATGATTAAAATCTTGTCTTGAACATTGTAGGTTTTCTTTATATATATATACAATAACAACACTGAAAAAACTAAATAAAAGCACTATTGGTAATTTTTATTATATGTACTTAATTTTATCGATCTTAAATTAAATTTAATTCTCTCAAAAACGTGTTTAAATTATTCACAGGCTTCAATCAGTAAAACAAGCTGAACATTTCTTACAATAATTAATACAAAAATTACTATTTACTTTTTCTTAACTTTCATCATTCCACATAAAGATTTTACATATGTATTTATATTTAAGTAGAAATGAAAATTATTTTCACAATTCCTAAAAAAACAAATTTGTTTACAAAAGTGTAAATAAAAACAAAAACAAAAAAAAAACAGCATACAAAACAAAGTAAATATTTTTTCAAGTGCTTTTGCGCCCAAAATTTATGCACTAACATGGGAGATGAAAGAGATGGTGTGGAGAAAAGTGAAAAGTTTTATGCGATAATAGTTCAAGGTTAAAAAGTTTATGTGGCTTTATTATGATGTGTGGTGTAAATGGGAAGGCGAAATCAGATGAGTTAGTATTTTATGATGGCATTGACATTGATAGTTGCATGTACAATTCTACGTACATTTCGCATGTTGATTTGTACACACAAAAAAGAAGAAGCAACAGAAGTCGAAACTTCGAATGAATACAAGATTGGTATTCACCATATCGAGGTCATAGCAGACTGCAAGCAAAATATTGATTTTTATCTGCTTTAGCAGAAACACAATTTCAGAACCTCTGTCATGTCAAAAAAAAACATTTAATTTAAATTAAAAAAAAAAAAGCAAAAGAATTTACATTTCCATCACAGCCTAAATAGAATCCTGGCCGCTGATTTGTGCGTTCACTCATGATGACTTGCTGCGATTGTGCTTGTGCCTGTGCCTGGGCGGATTGACGTAAGTCCTTATAACCTGATTCGAGCTCTGTATATGACATTGTGTGTGTGGGTGTATGAGAGTTGTGTACGTTAAACGTTAAAGGTTAATAATCTTCACTACAAATTTTGTGAAGCAAATTTTTTTGTTGTTTAGTATTAGCATTTACTACAACAAAACAAATAATATAACAACAATTAAAACAAAAAACCGTTAATGTTATTAATAAAGCATATAATTTTTTATTTGCATTTTTATTGCCGAATTTTTTTCATGTCCACATTTTTTCAGCACTTTCTACGCACTCATCGATTTTTTATTCATACATATAGTTTTACTAATAGAATCTTATATAACATTATTTGACCAAATTTAAATGTTATTATTTGTAAGACACTTATTTATGTTTAGGATTCTGTTAAAAATGCACATTATTTTTCATTTTTTAGCACATTTTTTATATAAAAAGAAAAATTGAGCAACTTCTGTAGAACCCGCGGACCACAACCGCCGAACGTAACAACCGAAAAACAACTGTGTTCGTCTCCATACTTCGCGTTTTGTTTTGTTCTTTCTTCTCCTTTGGTTGACATATTCTTCTTTATCTTCATTTTATTTTGTTGCTTTGAGAACAAGATGCATATCGTAAATTATCCGCTGTACGCTAGCCGTTAAACGTTAAGCATTTAAATTTCAATAACAATACATTTACTGTTTATTGTTGACCAAATATTTTTTAATAATAATTTTGTTTTTAACGAGATAATTGGTTCGAATTTTTTAAAATTTACAAAAAAAATGTATTTAACTATTTTTATTATTATTATATTATATATTATTATTATATTATATATTATTATTATATTATATTATTTAAAAACAAATTATTATTAATAACAATTCATTATATATTTAAGCATAAGAATTGATATTATTATCTGAATTAATTAAACAAAAATGATTTTTAATTAATGTTAAGTAAAAAAACCATTGTAGACTTTTGTAAAAATGCGTTTAAAATTTAATGTGTATAAGCTTTTTTAATTAAGTTTGAATTTCAATTTAATGAACATAACCTAAAAGCTTCTACCTAGAGAGCTTTTTTTAAATTTTCTTAACGTCAAAATCAAAATCAAAATTGTAAAAATAGTTTCTGTCACTTAAAAATATTCTTTTGTTTGAAAGCATTTTAAACTTCAGTTTCATTAAAAACATTCTTAAAATTTTATTTTAATTTTCTTAAAATTTTATTTAAAAACAAAAACAAACAATAACCGCAATCAATGCATCGCTAAGCAACAAATTTAAATAAAATTTAATTTTCAGTTTTATTCCGTTGTAAAAATAATCAGTTTTGTTTAAATTTTCTATAGCAACATTCACCATGCAACGCAACGAGCCAAAAATGACTGACGAAAAAATCGTTGGGGAAGCACAAAAGGGGTGCGATGAGTTAAAAACCCTTTGTGCTAGGAATACCATCATTTTGTCTGCTAATCGTTATGACAAAATTCGCAAAAATATTACCAAGTATGAGGTGTTTGAAAAAGAGCTGGAGGAGGAGAAAAAGTATTCCGAGTACCTTAAGGAGGGAAGTGACAAGTTAGTTGCCAAATTTGGAGGCAACTATGTGCAAACTACCGATCAGGCCCTTAAGCAAAAGGAATTACTTGAAGCTCAGGCAGAAGAAAGACTTCGTCAAAGTACGTACTTCTATTTTTATTTTTATTTTACTTCTATTTTTATTAATTCGAAATTTCAGGCCAGCTTATGTATGAAGCAGTTTTGATTAAAGAGGAAGAACAACGCAAAAAGAAGGTCGAGGAAGCAAAGGAAGTCTTAGAAAAAATGCGTAATGGTCCTCGTGAATTGCGTGGTGCAGCTTTACATAGCGAAGTTTTGCGTTGTCGCAATGTCCAAATGGCTATTAATAAGGAGTTTGAAAAGGCTGTTAAGAAGCAAGAATGTGCTGATATGGTGAATATTGACAAGCACGGTATGGCGTTCATTCAAGAGGAGCAACAAAGAATGGCCAATAATGCTACTGCTACTAATAACTATAAGCGTGAATTAATTGATGCCATCAATGAGAAGTGCAAGGCACGCGTTGAAGAAAGAAAGCAAGCTATTAGAGATTTCCAGGAGGAAACCAAGATAATACAAAATGAACTGAAGAATCAGGTTGACAAAGAGAAAGCAGCTATGGAACGCAAACGCGCCATTCTTAGACAAAATGCACTTGAAGCTATGAAAATGGTTGAACAACGTCGTCAAAGTATGTTTCTAATTTATATTTTTTACTCTTTTACTATATTTTTTTTAAATAATAACTAGGGGAACGTCTGGGTGATGAAATTGATGACGGAATGGCATGTGTTTACGGTACTGGCGTTCATCAATTGATGCAAAAGCAAGCCGAAACAAAGAAAATGTTACATGGTGAACGTCTCAATAAGATAGAAGAAAACACCAAAATATTTGCCCAGTTGCCTACCAAAGAGGAGTATGAAACGAAGGTTCTGCGCCGTGATATTAGTCGCGATAAGTTGAAGTTTACTGCTGAAGAACAGGAAAAGGTTCGCAGAGAGAAAGCGTCGAAACAAGCTCGTATTGAAGCTTACTTGGAAGAAGTCGAACGTCAAAAACTAGCTAAGCATCGTGCTGAAGAACAGCGTCGTTTCGAAATGGCACAACGTTTGAAGAACAATGAGGTCACCTGCCAATTCAATGAGTCCGAAAAGCAAAAACGTCAACGCCAAGCCTTCAACTATCGTTCGACCTTAAATGATCAAATAGAATATCGTCGCCGCAATTTATATGCTCAAAAGCCAACTCCACCACTGTGTCAGGATGTAGAGGATGATGTTCAACATAGATATTTCTTTAAGTATGCCCGCAATCTAATGGAGGATGCAAAGAAAAAAGATCGTCCTCTTTATCCATTTGTGCGCGTTGTTAACGAATACAAACGTGCTAATCAAATCAATTGTGACCGTAAAGTTCCTCGCCACTTGGTTTCCAATATTAATGTTGGACACCAGTCGTATAATCCAAACTGCAAATACCAATGTAACTCTCCTCAAAGGCGTCGTGACTTCAAGCCCAGACCTGCACCTGATGAAAAGGACAAGGAGAGTATTTTGGCCAATTGCCTCAGAATCAATCAGTTGGTTGCTAGTGTCGCAGGTGGTGGTGTCATGGAGAAAAGATCAGAAGTGAAATCTGAAAAGGGTTGCGGTGATTTGCTTACCGATAAGCCTGCTGAGTGTAATGAAGAAAAAGACAAATATGTTTACACCGTGCAAGAATTAAAGAAAATGAACAAGTATGATGTAGATGCTCATATCTAACTTAACAATATATTTGTACTACATTTTACACTCATCACATCCATTCTAAATACTTGTTAAAACAGAAAAAAACAAAAAAAAAATTAAGCATCATTTTAGTATGTTGTTTTCTTATATATTATATACAAAACACAGACTTCAGCAACCATACAATACTTAATTCTGTGGTAGTTCAAGACTGATTTTCTTTGTTTAATTAATAACAATTGTGATTTTAAAGACTTATAATAATAATAAGAATATAATTTAGTTAACTTCGCCTTCTTGGTGACCTAAAATTAATAAAGTTATAACAAAATTAAGATTGTTGCTTTTTATTTTTGTTTTTCATTTGAAATGTATGCGCCGCCTACCGCTTCGACTTCAGTGCCTCTAATTTGGTTTTAAGACGCATACGATCTCGGGCTATAATCTCCATGCGGTCTTTGACTGTGATATCAAACAAAGTCATATGTAAGGTCTTGCTGGCAGATGTAAGCTAGAAGAGTAAGGAAAATAAAATATAATGAAGTGAAATAATTTATATTAAAAAGTAGTTTTTATCCAAAAAACCAAAAAAAAAAAAATAGAATATTTAATAATTATTTAAGAATAATTTAATAAAAATAAATTACGAAGTTCAGTTTATAATTTTAATGCTTCAAGTAAGATTGATATTCTGTGAAAATGTTTTGAGAATTTCCAAAATCAAGGACATGTACTTTAAAGAGAATTTACAAGTTTACAATATTTACCCATCTTCATAGTCTATTATAATCTACAATTATAGATATGTATGATTTAACTAACTTAGAAGCTGTTAATGTAGCTTACTTCCTCTTCACAGTTTTAAGGATACGAATATGTACAATAAATGTCTCCAAGTCGATGTGTTGATGTTTGAAATAGCACACGTCGTCACAAACTAACCCAACTACGACGATTAATATATATTTCGTGCATTCACATAGAAGCGTTGATATCTATAACTAATGAAGGGGTAAGGTCTTTGTTCTAAGAGTGGTAAGCGGTGCTTGGTCTTCGTTACTACCAAGTGGTACTGGGACGTAAACTTGGCTATTTATGGAAACAACCTTTCATTCATTTCACATTCTAAACAACCCATCTTCTTCTCACTTATCTCATACCTTCTCTATTTCTTATATATTCATATTTTGTAATTTCTTTTATATCTCCTATTTTATAGATCTTATAGATCTCGCGCTACAACAGCAATATATATAGCTCTTATAAGTAATTGATTTAAAGTTCTGCAACCGTCTATCTACAATGATAATTGTCACAAACTATAGCCGTAGTCGGAGAAAAAGAGAACCAAGTTTGTTAACGAATGGACTAATAGATAACAACCTTATCTACGAAACCACCTCTTCGCAAGCAACTCTGACCCTACCAAATCCTAACTCATGTATTTGTATATGTATTTTCTTTTATGCTTCCTATTACATAAAAGAAGTAAGCAAGAGAAAGTAAGACACTTTTTTTATATACCTATTTAAGAGAGATAGTAAATAGACCTCTTCGAATCTTAGATCTTAAAAAAACAAACAAATGGTAATCTGGTAGACATAGATGTTATTAGGTACTGAAAACATAACGGCGCTTATGCGATACTTGTGGACAGAGGAAAAAACCCTGTCGCCACAAAAAACAACTGTGTTAATTATAAATCAAAATTTTATTCTTTCAGAAACTCTTATAAGAAACTGAAATATTAATTACTTATAGAATCTACTAACCTGTTGAAAAAGTCTAACCTTCAGCTGTATATTAGCTGGTGTGTTGTTATCCGCAGGATTTTCTATCGTTTCGATATGTAGTCTCAGCACGAAGAGCAACGTGTCTCTTATAGTTGCCACAACACGCTTAACATGTTCAGTCCGAAACAAGCGCCGTATCAGAAACCCACGAGCATACTTATTAATGACTGTGGCTGCGGCGTGTTGCCGTCCTATGTCAATGTCATTACCTAAAGTCTATAAAAGAATTATCTTGCTTTAATTAAATATACTTAAGTTTAGATAATTTATTAAGTAAACTGGATTTATTTGCAAAAGTTAAAAACAATTCAACAATTTTATTTAAAATTCTCTAAAATAATTAATAAACTTTTTAATAGAATAAAAATTTTGACGGTGCATAAATTTGAAGATTAATTTAAGTTCGATTTCTTTTGATTCATTATTAGCGCAGTATTGTGGATTTTAATAGAGTTTTGACGGAATATTTTGGGGGCTTTGAATAAAAATTTATATAAAATTTAAGGCACTTTGGGTTATTATTTCTTGATTTTAATGAAAGCCTGAATTCCGTCTTGCGAGTCTCAATTGAGCTTTGATTATTTCTGATATTGATTATTTTTGATATTCCAGGCAAGCGTTAAAGAGAGGTGAAATAAGAGAAATGTGTTAGTCAAATAAAGTATTATACGCTTAAATTAATTGAAATTGAATTTATGTGGGACAAACCTTATTTCTTTTGCTCAAAACCGTAGGCGATCTTAATCGACTTGTCACCATGTTTTGTCCATCTATTTCGGGGCTGTTCTCTACTCCCGCGAAGCTGTTACGTCGTGCTGAGTTAGGACGTGCATTTTGAAGTGTTATTCCATCACAATAACTAGATTCTAATGAAGTTATACCATCGCATGTTTTGTTCGTTTCAGCATCGGAGTGTTGAATAGAACTACTCGAAGTTAGACCAGTAACATCAGGAATTACGACTGTTCTATGTTTAGCATTGCAAATAAGTAAATTTTTCTCGGCATTAAGTGCATTAATTAAACGCTTTCTTTCTTCTTCTTGCTTCACAATAGATGTGAACAGTTGATTTTCAGTAGGAGTTAGCAAATTTCTGCTAGGAGTGCGTCGTTGTGGGTTTTGTATTGTCGGAGTTGAATTGCAATTAGACAGCGAGTATCTGTCGTGAATTGTTGGCTTTTGTCCCCGAGCAGTTGCACATTTGTTATCGTAAGGTGAATGTGGTTTTTGCGACATAGTAGAGGAGCGAGCGGATAAAATATTTGCGTTATAGCCTGAAGGGTATCTACGTTGTTGTTTAAATGGTGGTGAAGGCGATTTTTTTGTATTAACCTTTTGTACTCGTTTAGCCTTTGATTCTATTGTGTCTCTAGTTGCACTTGACGATAATTGATTACGACTGGCAGGTTGGTGTGGATTATGCTTCGCGGTTAATGTTGTGTCAGTTGCTTTTTTAGAAATGGTGTATGGTGAACGATATTTGGAGTTCACTTGATTTGCAGAATATGAATCTACTGAGTTATTTTTCAGAGAATCATTTAGTTTATTCCCTGTTGAGTTGAATGTTTTCTGTGTTTCTGGTTTTTTTCTGGTGGCACCTTTAGGTTCAGGTTGCATATTATTAATGGTTGCATCAGAATCGGAATCATCTCTTATACTTGATCTTCTTCTATGTTCTACAAAATGGTTGGCACTATTCGAAGTTGCAACATTAATTTGCTGTGACATATTAAGTGAATCTAGACTGCCACATTCTAATTTATTGATGAGCATATGGTTTCTTAAAGCGGGAGATGGTTCAATTAAAGTAAAGGAACTTGAGCGAACTAGCGAGCTATCTGACTGAGAGCAACTGAGTGTTAATCTTCTTTCTACCGCTGGTGGATCTTGTGGAAATGGTTGTGGAGAATTAGTATCGCTTGAACTGTCATCGTCTGTGGTTTGATCTGCGTGGGCAATATGCAGAAAAGTAGTATTATCTTCCGTTGCAATAGAATCCTTCAACACGACCATTTCTGTTTGTGGCGTAGGGGGACAAACACATATTGAGGGTACTTTAGCTTTAATTTCGTCATTTGTGTTTCGTGTACGTTTCGGTTTTTCTTTAAATTTGTCTAGTTTACTGACATCTATTATTATCCAGCACTGGTTACTAACTTTGCTCATATGGACAACAGTGTATTCATTTTGTAAATATTTTATCACATTATTCGTTGGATAAATAACACTTTTAAAATGATTATCGAAGGCCACAGTTTCCGTCAGTTTTAATTTTTTTAAACGTTCTTGTGCATTATATGAAGGCGGATTAGTTTTAGTCAGCTTATAATTATTATTTAACTCATCCTCCTTAAGCCAATTAGTTATTGTTTGAAACGAAGCATCCAGTTCGAGGTCACGTGAAAATTTGCGACCTCGTTGGCATTGTACATTATTGCATTGAACAATAGTTTCTGCTTTTTCGCTATTATCAGAACCTATAGTTTTATCTTCGCATTCACGTTGTTTCCTACGACAATCTGCGAATTGTTTTTCAAGTTCTATGGCCTTTACTTTGAGCTTCTGAAATTCTATCTTCATATCTGCAGTCACCTGTAAAATATTATTAGTTAATAATTATTTTAACATATTTATTAATTAGTGGACAATTATTCATTTAGCATTCAAATATTTTCGCATATCTATAATATATTTGCAAAGAGTGAACTCATTGTCTCACTTGAGTGCTTGAGTGGCTTACAAGTGGTGGCAAGATCGGCTTCCCATCGATGCGGAACACTGATTCAAATTTTCTATTGGCATTGGCTGACATCGTTCCTTCCTTTTGCATGTGTTAGAAAATTTAGCACAGCGCTAATTAAATCGTTAATTAAATTAAGGCAAATGTTTTTTTTTTTTCTTACAAAACTTTTTTGTCAATTTTATGCATTTTATTTTTGATTTCGTTACTTTAATATTTTACTAATATAAAATTTTCTTAGCCTTCTCTAAAATTTACAATTTTCTGTCAAAATGTTTTTCTTGACCCGTTTTTATAAATGTCGTTTTGGTCGTTATGACAACAAAATTCTACAGGTAAAATGCACAACGCTTTTAGCGGCACAATCGGGCAAATTGATTCAAATAAACAAAACTACAATGCACAATTAGAGATGAATAAAAATATTCAACAGTTTCGATTAATTACGATAAAAATTCGCTTTACTTATTCACAATAATACGAAAATGGAAAATTTTGAAACGTGTTTACTTTATTAGAGCTTATTATAGACAGATTGTAATTTTCTTCGTTCGATATGCTTCGCTAAAAACCTATTTACATAGTAAAGCTTAATTTTATTATAGTTTTGAATCTCACTTTTATTTTTATAGTTGTGCTCATAAATAAATGTTTCAAATATTGCAGTAATATTTTTTTTGTTCAAAATATCGCTATACAATTTTACTATTGTGAATCGCATACTAAATACTTGGTTTTGTACAAATTCCAATACAATCGAAATTTTGATTCTATGATTTTTTACATATTACAAATTTATTACAATTAAAATGTTACAATTAATTAAAATCTTACATTGAACGTACTCAATAAGAACATTAAACAAATTAATTGGTTTGTGTATAAAATAAACAAGTTTGCACAAAAATGAACTTATTGGTGTGTAGCATAAACAAAATAAAGTCAAACGCTCCATATATGTATATCAAAGTCACCATCGAAAAACAGTGCAAACAATTTAAGCCTTATTTATATCGCCGAAAAATCGACTTAATCGCAAAAGTGAGATAATTCACAAAATTTTATTTTAGTTTATTAATTACTACAAGATATGAATGCAATGTTTGTTTAAATAAATATATCCCTCGTTTTTAGGAAATTCTTTAGAACTTAAATTAAACTGTTTGCATTTTATAAAGAAAACATATGTTTTGATTACCACTAATATATTGAGAATAAACAAAACGTATTTACGAAATAGTACACAAAAAATTAAAATGAAGTGATTGGAATTGTATTGCATTTTCAAAGTTCTTATTTTGCTATTATATCAAATTTTGCTATCATATCTTTTAGTTATATTGATAATAACTCTATTATATATTTGACAATAACACCTAACAACATCTATATTAATTCAATGGATCTATTTACACTATAATGAACGTGAGATGAACTTAACATGAACTATCAGTTCAGTTTACACTATAATGAACGTGAGATGAACTTAACATGAACTATCAGTTCAGTTTACACTATCATGAACTTTCATGAGCGTGAAATTTGTTTTGTTTTGTGTAAACGTTTAAAATGCTTGTGTGTAGTAGGGTAGAGCACAGAAATTGAGAATATTCAACTTTAAAAGGTAAACATAAACATAACATTGCATATGCATGCGTGTCAAGCTGAAAAAACGCAGCAAATTTCATTGCGTGAAATTCATGAACTCACATCACACACTCTTCCCTCTCCCATCTATCGGTAACTGATTTTCAAGTTTATGTTCATGTTACATTCATGATAGTGTAAATAGACCCAATAACTTTTCTATTTATATCTAAAATATTTTTATCTTTTCACTAAAGTAAAATGTAAATAAAAAACTATAAACTATGATTTTTCAATATGTTAACCTTAAAACAAATGACTCGATAACTCAAATATTTCGAAGAATTACTAATGCCACTTGGTGACTGCCACTTTTTACATAAAAGTTCATTCCTCAACTGTGTTTCATCTAAATAATTTCGTTATGATAATTTTTCCAGTGTATTTGTTCAGTTATTGCGAATGCATTATATACTATTGTGAATATCACGAGCAGCTGAAAGTAAGTGGCGCGAAGTCAGTAGATTAAAGAATACATTTGGTATTCTTTGCAGTAAATAAAAGCAATATATATTATTAATTCAAATTTAAAAAATTATTAATACGACATGAATTCTGTTAAAAGAGTAATTTCACCGCTGAATAATAAAAGTGAACAAGATGTAAAAAAACAAAAATTAAGTTCAAGTACTGAAAACTTAAGCAAGGTAAATACTTTTAACGACCAGAAAGAAAACTTGGATTTTTTTTTTGATGAAAGCTGTGACTTCGATCTAGGAGCAATCGAATCCACTGAGCAAAGCGTTGAACATGTTTCCACGCTTGACTTGAGTAAATGGCAACGTTGTTTGGTTGTTCAGTTAGAACGGGACCGCAAATCGTTTGATTTAGTGTTAAGTGTAGCATTGGATGAACGTAAAAATTTAGAAGCATACGACGGTGTGTCTTTGACAAAGTGTCACTTACAAGGACCTTGGTGCAATACACACATTGACGTTGGTGATGTAGTTTCAATAAAAGCGATATGGGATAATGATAAAAAAATTTACAAAGTTAATAAAGATTTCGGTTATTGCGTTACTTATCCTGACACATTAATATCTGGTACAACTGTTGTTGGTTCATTATTCTGCCGTCGTAAAGCTGTACTACAGGAACGCTTTCGGGGCATTGATGCAAACGACAAAGTGGTAAGTTTTAGTAATTATTGTTTAATATAATTACGAGTATTAACAATAACTTAGATGGTTATAGGTACTTTGGTACATGAGCTACTGCAAATAGTGCTGGAAAAACAACTGACATCATATAAGGATATTGAGAATGCTTGTAACGAACTTTTGGAATCACAAGAAACTGCTTACGCGCTGTATGCTAGTCTTCTGACACGTGAAGATGCTTCATTAGAAGTAAAAAAATTCGTTTCCAATATTTTCAATTTTGTACAACAATATATTGTAAAAAAAGAACCAGCTGTGGTATGTATAAATATAATTAGTTGAATAATTGGTAATAAATATTTGTGTAATATTGTTTAGCTACAAAAGGACACATTTCAAGGTACAATCAACAAAATAGAAGATATAGAGGAAAATCTTTGGATACCACAGTTGGGACTTAAAGGCAAAGTAGATGTTTCTGTGCGTATACATAGACGCAAAAATAATTTAAAATTTGAATCTACGAACACAAATGCGATTCCATTGGAATTAAAAACAGGTCGTGCCACTTTTTCAATGGAACACAAGGGTCAATTAATTCTCTACCAAATGATGTTGTCGACATTGGGGCGTGATATTAACTCAGGTTTACTACTTTATTTACGCGAAGGTATTATGCGTGAAATCAGCGGCGCGAGAAATGAACAAAGAGACTTAATAGCGCTACGCAACGATTTGGCATATTATCTGAGTTATATACCTAGTTTACCACTTGTAAATGTACCAAACGCACTTGGAGATGGTAAATATATACAGCCAATAAAGTTACCAGATCCGATTTCTCATCACAGCGCGTGCAATTCCTGTGCTTATGCGAATTTGTGTTGCACCTTTGCACGAACGGATAAAAGCTTGGAACTGAGCGAAAGTCATCCACTTCGAAAAGTTATGCACGATGTGACTGCACATTTGAAGCCGACTGAATATGAATATTTTATACATTGGTGTAGGCTGATTTCTTTAGAAGATATTGATGATAAAATGGCAAATGTTGCACGTTCGCTTTGGACCGATACTCCGGAAATAAGACAACAGAATGGACGCGCCGTTATAGATTTAGAACTGTTAAACGAAGTTAGTTTTGAAGATTCACGTTACTTGCATACTTTTAAATTAAAAATGGAGAAGGAGGAAGATATGGATCTGACATTAAGTTGTGTAAGTAGATATAAATGTGCTGAAAAAAATTACTTGATATTTAATAAATTTCTTTTTTGTAAAAGTAGTTTGCGTGTGGCATGTATGTTATTGTCAGTTCCAGGCAACGCTTGGCAATCGCGGCTGGTCACATTTATAATATAACAAATAATACAATCTCGATTAGATTGGAACGGAACTTAAACAAAAACTATAAAGGTCAATCGTTTATAGTCGATAAGCATGTCTCACAATCTGTAAACGTTTTTAATTATACCAACTTGGGACTGATGCTTGATGAAACGGATAGAGCTAAGACTCTGCGTGATATAGTGATACACAAAAAACAACCAACATATACCAAGAAATTGCCTTCAGTAATTGCTGAGAAAGGCAAAGAAATTTTGAAAATGTTGAACATGGTGCAACGTAAAGCAGTTCTGAAAGCCTTAACAACTGATAGCTTCATGCTAATAAAGGGTTTGCCTGGCACAGGTAAGCGTTTCTATTTACATGAGAGTTTGACATGAACTTAAAATAATTTTTTCAGGCAAGACACAAACATTGGTAGCCTTGGTACAATTATTAAACTTAATCGGAAAAACGGTGATAATCACTAGTCATACACATTCAGCTGTTGATAACTTGTTATTGCGTCTTAAGAATACTGGTTTAAAAATGCTAAGACTTGGTTCTGGCGAGCGTGTTCACACAGAACTGCATGAATGCAGTGAAAGTGAAGTAACGAAGGACTGTAAGACAGAAGCTGAGCTTGCTAAAAAGTATGCCTCATACAATATAATTGGCGTAACTTGCTTGGGTGCATCGCACTCCATATTTTTGCATCGTAAATTTGACTACTGTATTGTAGATGAATCCACTCAAGTTATGCAATGTACAGTGCTGCGTCCACTTTTCTTTTGTAGCAAATTTATTTTAGTCGGTGATCCAGATCAGTTGCCACCACTCATACGTTCCAAGGAAGCACGTTCACGCGGTGCTAGTGTATCACTTTTTGAACGTTTGGATTGTGAAGAAGTTACATCAGTGCTGAATTTACAATATCGTATGAATAAAAATATCACTAAGCTGGCTAATGAGCTGACGTACGCTGGTGCTCTAGAATGTGGTTCTAAAGAAGTGCAGTTAGCGGCACTTAATTTTAAAATGCCTATAATGGTAGATAAGGAAAAATGGTTGGAGCGTGTAATGCAAACACATGTAGATCAATCGGTATTTTTGTTGGACACTTTAGATTGTGCTGAACGTTCACGTGCTTTTGCAATGAAGAAGCACAGTCGTGTCTGTGAAGCTATTGAACAAACCTTTGCTTCAGAACTCGACAATGATGAAAATTCAAACATGATTACGGCTGAAAATAAACGTATATCTAAATATACAAATTACTGTGATGCAGCTATTATATTTTATATTGTAGAGGTTTTATTAAGGGCTAATTTTAAACCTTCACGCATAGGTATTATAGCACCATATCGCGCTCAAGTGGAGTTACTGCGTAAACTCTCCACTCAATACAATGATTTCTATAAAAACAATGAAACTCCTTTAGATTTTTCTACCGTAGAAGTTAATACTGTCGATCAATACCAAGGTCGAGATAAGGATATTATACTCTATTCAGGCACTAAAACCGGCAGCCTAAGTGAAAAGGATATCGACAGGCAACGTGATAATGAAATTCTAGAAGACAAGCGACGCTTAACTGTAGCAATTACACGTTCAAAACATAAATTAATATTAGTGGGTGATACAGGCTGTTTAGCACAATATACACCATTCCAAAAGATGTTTAAGCATATACCTAGCTACTGTTGTATGAAATTGGAAGACAATAAATTGGGCTTCAATTGGCAGAAACTGCTGGATAAGTTGAGTGAAGTTATATCCAACTGATTTATGTGAGTTGATTTTCTGGTTATATGTGCTTAAGTACTTTTAAGCAAGACTGAAATATTCTATTGCGTTTGTGAGATAAGCTTACTTTTACTACTATAAACTACACCGCACATGACTTTGGTAGTTGGTAGCTTTAAGTAAACCATTATAAGTTAAGATATAAGCCAAATTGCAGATATGTTTTTAACATTGTATGCAGGCCATCATTAAGCATGCTATTTTGTGTTTTGAAACAAACTCTAATTTTAAATATTTATATTTTTATATATTTCTACTATACTAAATTGTATTTTTATTTTCCAACTTATTGTTATTATATGTTTTCACTACTCATTTTATGGAGTTTTCTTGAATGTAATTTTTTTTATTATTGAACAGCATTGAAACCCAATTCGAATTGCTGTTAAAATTATTTTTTTATAGTCTTTGTTACAATAAATTTTTCACACAAATTTATTAACACTTGTTTGTTCATAGTTCATATGTGACCAATATACAAAAACAGTAGTGTGTAACTAGGTTTCTATGTCCTTTTTTTTTCAAGTTTTTTACTTCCCGAACGTGTAACTTATTCATGTGCATTTGATCCATATTAAGAGCAATATTTTTGTTAATATATATTATTAGTACCATTTTCGAATTAACACTAATGCAACTCGTTTTATTTTTTTACTATGTGATGTTCAGTACCTTAGTAGGCTAGACTAACTAGACTAACTAAAGTAATCATCGAAATGTCGCATTGCCGGTCGTCATTCAGTGCAAAACAGGTACTTTGGAATTAAGCCAGGCAGGGCATTGATCTGAGAAATATGCAACTAGACATTATATTATATGACGGACATACTATAATATAGTTTTTTTTAACATTTTGTCATTTGGTCTACATACACATTTGAGATATAAAAACATTTCCATATGTGAGTACACAAGTGTGCTTTTGTCAAGACTTGTACAATGCTTGCCTTAAGCAATCGTGATGACTTTACTTTCACTATCGTTTTTCATTGAATCTCATTGAATAATAATTGATCGTGTTTGCACGTTGAAGCACGCCCAGTGTTTACTTTTATATTACATGCGGGTATAAGCGTAATGACGTTATATTTGCAAATAAAAGAAAACAGATTGATATATGCCTTATGCATAGATATAAAAAATATTATAATAAGCCTATTATATCACACAAAAAATTAGATATGTTATATATAGAAAGGTCTTATAAAATTCTATATATGTTTTTATATCAATGAAATAAGATTTATTAATACTACTCTACTTTAACGCATCAATACCACCTTTTAAAATGAATAGAGAAGATTTCCATTACAGTGTGGAAACTTTATTCCAGTATTTAACTCAACTTTTAAAAAAGTTGAGATCAAGAGGTAAATTCCTAGAAGTCTAGGTTTATCTAAACCAGCTTCTACTCCATATTCAGAGATTCTAACTTAAGTTTAACCTTAAACTATCTTCAAACTTTAGTCAGATTCTCTGTGACCTTGATCTGGGAGATCACTGACTCGAGAACTACTCTCCCCTTCTGACATTAACAGGATCTTAATGATCAACGTTCTGACTTTCATTCGGTAGCCGGAATGACTTCTATTCGGTTAGGGTCTGTTGCAGCACAAAAGATCAACTATGGTCGCAATGCTCCGCTGGGAGCTGGGAGCGTTGGGAGCTGGTACTCCGTTTATTCCAATTTCTATCTTCAAATTTTTTTTCATTCTTATTGATTAGTTACCTGTTAAAATTTGGTTTCCTTAATAGTAACAATTGAAAAATGCTTGCCTTAATTAAGAAGAATAATGTTTGGACACTGCATTAGCTATTTCTAAGCTTCCTTATTGTTAAGGTTATATGCTTTATAAAGACAAATCTTTCGATGGTCTTGTAAGGAGAAATTTTACGATGACCAATTATGTGTTTAAACATACTTTTTCTCTGTTCAGGGCTGAAGTTGAGTTGCTATGTTCAGTGCCATGTTCTCCACATTTATTTTAAAAGACTTACTTAGCAATATATTAATTTGGTTTACGTAGTGCTGTATATACTATTTGTGTTCTTTAATTTTGTTTCATATCTTATGCATTATTTTTACAACTGACCTTTTTATCCATATCCACGATTCTTCACGTGTAACCCATATTCGGGGTATATATATTTTTAGAGTTGTGAATTGTGACTGAGCCTAATGGTTGTCCAAGTAGTCCAAGTCTTTATTAGTTCACGAAGTGAAAAATAAAAAAAATTATATTTAAATTTTTCTTGTACAGATGTTCCTATTAGATAAATATTATTCTATCATTTAAACTGCAAGGGCATATTTATATTAGAATCTGATTATAAATTGAATTCGACTTACCTCTAAAAACTTTTATATTTCTTCCGAAGTTGATACTGGGCATTACTGTGTGTCTCATCTTATCGAAGTTTTTGCCTGTTTACAAACACATGAAAAATATTCCCAAACTGACGATGCACAAGTCGCTGCAATGACAGTGCAGTACATCCGCTTGCTGCTCCTAATGCATTTAAAACGACTGGCATACACAAAAGTAAGCAACGGACATAGGTTACGGCCCTGTTAATGGTTTTACCACGTGCTCAGAATCACTTGATGAGCGCACGTTTCGCTTGCTTTGCGGTGCATTTCATGTGCGGTCTTCGTGACCTGACTCCAAACTAAGTTCGCTGCCGCACAATTTGAGAATTTTTATTGGCAAATAGATGACTTATCGATTTCATAATTTGGTGTTACACGTAATGTTTATAGCTCAAAGTATGTATCGAGCTACTAGATTAATGATGCTATAAAATATATAAAAATAAATGTAATGTGCTGAAAATGTCAATAAAAATATTTGTATGCAGAATATTTAAGATTTTACATTTTTTAAGAAATATATTATAAATAAAAACATTTAAAAAACTGTTAAATATGCTCGTCCTTAAAATAGATAAAGATGAACACTATATGTTTATTAATAAATTTCCGAACTAGTTTAGCATTTTCCAAGCTAAAATTAAAGCCATCTATGAAACAGCTAGGATGGTAGGATAAGATGATATTGTGTACCAATCTGTATATTTTTACATATGATGAAGCTAGTACCAAATTATTCTTAATAAGAAATCAAAAGCAGTATCATTATCTTTTCCCGTAATGGAAGCAAACAATATTCTAAACAACAATAAACACAACACTATTTTTTCAGATAACACAATAATATTAGAGATAAGGGTCCTGTATCATCTGTGTCATCATATGTAAAGGTTTTATAAATCACTGACAAATACATCAAATCGCCATAGACTACAGAAGTTTTAGTCGAAAATATGCCCATAAATCAAAACACTGCCTTCTATTTATTAATAAGTAGTTTCAATCTGTCTACATTCATTATTACATGTGATTTTGGATGACGCATGCACCCCACCATGATTGCGGCCAGTACATACTACTGTAGAAGTCGTCAAAATGAGGGTGTGGAAGGAATGGTTGATCATTTATTGTGCTGCCAATTGACTATTTACAAATATACCAACCAATAAGAAAGACTAAGCTCAACAAAGAGTTATGTCAATTGATTTACACATCAGTATGCGTGCACCCAGTAGATACTGCAGTTGCAGCTATCGAAATTAGGTCATGGAAGAAACGTTTGATCATTTATTGTGTTACTGTTTGGTTGAACCTAGACAAAGAGTTAACTCATTTGGAGATTGGAATTGGCAAAACTGAACACAGTTCACTTAATAGGGCTTTTTACTGAATCTGGTGGAAAATCTGATTTACGCTCCAACATATCATATTGCCTTTAGTCAAAGACATAGAATTCGTAAATATTAGTTGACTAATGAACGCTGACTCTGAGCGTCAAATTTGGCAGGGCACATGTTCAACCCTTGGTACTTGCAGTTTCAAAACAAATTATACAGGAATAATTAAATACAATAAATAATACCAAGACCACTGATGCTGAGTATTTGGCAATACTCGAAACAAATAGTTAAAATAAAAATAATTTTTGTTGTTGTAGTTCACTACTTTTCTAAACCTCTCTACCAAAAACTTTTTTATATAAAATTTGTTTTTAAGTAAAATATTAACAGAGAAATGTTATAACATAATTAACAGTAGGTTATGCGACAGTACAATGTTAATAACATAAAATTCTCTGCGCATGAGCAGACAATCCGTCAGAGAGTCTGCATAAAGTCGTTTGGCAACTGGTAGCAGAAGGTTTGCCTTGGCGGTAGCTTCATTGGTAGCGATACAAGTGAACCGGCTTTTTCGTACGTCTTCAGCATTAATAAATATTTGTGCTCTTTTCGTTGTTCAAATACTTGTATAAGAAATATTAATAAATTTGCTCATAGAAAACGAAAGAAAGGCAGACAGGCCGACAGCCAACAGCCGACAGTCGACAGACCCACTTGATTAAACCACCTGTGGGGGACATGGCTGAGATGTGACTTGAAGTTTACTTGTTGGCAACAAATGAAATCAGTGCAACGGCGACTCTTGAACGGTATTGTTGGCTTCGACGGTTCAACGGAAAACAGCCAAACGAGCCAAGTCGGAACGAAACGTAGCAAAGTGAAGCAATAACTTATATTCGCCCAAAAGGAATTTAAACAGTTTATGTACGAATTTGCTTTTGTGGAACAAAAGTGTGAAGTAATGCATAAAAAAAAAAATAAAATAAAAAAAAAATAAAATAAAATTAAATATAAAAAACAATAAATAACTTTTTGCTTGGTTAATAATTAATCATAGAAGAAACGTGTTGCGCATTTTTGGAATTAGTACATAAATTAAACTGTGTGCATATATACAATTTTCTATAAAAAAAATAAAAAAATTAAATAAAATAATAAAAATGAGATACAATTTAAGCGATGCGCTGAAGCGGATTTAAAATTTAACAAGAAAAATAAATTTAAACAATATTTGATATTTTTTTTTGTTTTTTGTAATATCGTTTCTGAAGGTGCTGAACAGTGCTGCGCATGCGCAAATGGTCTACTTTGCATGCAAAAGCAAAAGTGTTTATGGCTTTCGATTTTCTATTATTTTTTCAGTTAATTATTTTTTTTTTTTTGTTTTTTATTTTTTATTTTTACTCTACGGGTGTGAATAGGATTGCGTAAATATTCGATATTTATGAAATTTGTGTCTGCAGTGAAAGAAAACTTATCAAACATTTGTAATATTTGAATAATCTATATAAATTTTATTATATATAACAGCA